GAGTTCAGGGAGCCCGCGCCGAGCCTCACGGGTAAGCCACACACGCCCGGACGCCAGGGTTCCCAGGGCTCCAGCCGCCCTCATCGGCTGCCCAACTTCAGTGTTCCCTCTTCGGGCCCCCTGGGGGTCCCCCCTGGCTCCCAGACACCTAGACCCCCTCTCAGCTTTCCGTTCCATGCCCACCCCTCTGGACTGCCCACTCTCTGTGCTCCACTCCCATCCCCCCATTCGGAGCGGTCAACTTCCAGATTCACTCCACCTAAGCTCTTGGTGGGGGAAGGGAGTAGGATTCCAGATGTCTCTTTGTCGGGTTCCAGGGAACCCTGCCTGGGTTCTGCCACTCCTGGGTCGTCCTGAATTTTCGGGTTACTACCTCCCCACTCTGGGTTTGCCTCCCTCTTCCCTCATAGTGGAGGCTTCCAGGGGGAGGAGGGAAGTGAATGCCTGTGTGTGTTTAAGGGGCGCGGCCGGCCTCCTTTGTCCTGGCCGCCTCCAGCTGGTGAGAGGAGAGGCGACCCTCGCTGAGTGCCCCTTTCCCCGCAGCGATCAGGGGCGACGGAAAGCTGGCGGTGATCTGGCCTCCCCGCAGAAAAGCTTCGGAGAACGGGCTGGAGCAGGTGGGAGCCCTTTTCTCCTCGTGCCTCAGGCGCTGGTCACTACCCCATTACCACCACACATCCCCTCTCCCGTGGTGCCGGTATGCTGGGCCCAGGGAAATATGTCCCTGCGCCGGGAAGTCACTCTGGGCTAGGACCCAAAGTCCCGGGCGCGGCTGGGGGATGAGGAGGAGGTGGTGGTCCTGGGGCCCAAACCTCCCCGCCCTGTGCCTGCGTGTCCCGACTGGCCCCTCTTTTCCAGGAGGAGCGGAAGCCTTGAGGTTGGAGCAGGCTGGGACCCCCGGCCGGAAGTAACATTCCCGTCAGAGGACCCGGGCAGGGACGCCCAGGAGTGCCCTCCAGATCAGTGGAAGGCCTGGAGCGGGGCCAGCGGTCTGCTCTTGGGAAGATGAAATCGACCAGCCCATCCTTGAACTAGACTTTGTGAAATTGACCAGCCTCTGCTATAAAATTGTTATTCCCCATTGGGAAACACCACCACGACACAGCCAGTGAAACTGTCCAGCCCTTCTCCGCCTAACTGCAAACGGAACTAGCCTCTCCCTCCTGCCTTGACTGTTAGAGAACCAGGTCATCGCCTCGGCTGTCCCCACTTCCCAATAAAGTCCTTTCTTTCTGGGCAGCGCAGGCTGTTTTCTTTTGGGTCCTTTTGGTCTGGGGTGGGGCGGGAGGACGGCAAGCGGAGGAGAAAGCCGCTGGAGGCGCCGGCGGTAATGCGACTTGTGCCCTTAACGCCCTGTTCTGGGGCTGCGGGTCTCCCACTGCCAGTCTTGGGTCCTAATGCCCCCTGGCGGCGCGGCTGCGAGCTGCGGCTTTCGGACCAATGAGCTCACACCTCCCTTCCCAGACTTCGTCAACATTTATTGGTGCCAACGGCATGTCCCGCGCTGGACGCTGGCTAGACAGAGGTGATAAGAGATTGTTCCTGCCCTAGAGATGTAAACAGTAGCTACAAAATAATAATAAAAATAAAAAGTGAGGGTACAAGCTCCTTAGCAGGGCATAGAAGACCATTTATAATCTTCCCAGCGACTGCAAACCTCACATGCTTAGGGCTCCAGGCAGATAGTAAGGAGAGAGATGGGGTGTGCTTGAAAACAAACGTCTCATTTCAAAGGGCAGGTAAGTGTTCCTCCATCTCAGCAGTGCTACCAATGAGAGTTAAGTGGTGCTAGAGCTTCTGCTTTCCAAAAGCAACCAGAAACCCAGCCTTTAAAAAGAATCTACTTAACTTTAAATAATTGTGACTATTTAGAAAACATTTAAAATGGGGGTGGGGGGGTGCAGGAAGCAGCAAGCAACACCTGTCTGCAGTGGGGCTTGTGGCTGTAAATTGGCAAGCCCTCCCTTACTTCTCTGTCCCAAGACAAGGTGTTCAAGGGCCCTCCTGGATGGGGTTCAAGAGGTTCTGTGAACACCCCAAGTTGTAAAACTGTATCTGTGCAGTTATATTCTGTGGTTTTAGTATACCAGTTTCTTAGAGGTACAATGAGACCCAGAAAATGTTGAGACCCAGGAAACATTTTAGAATCACTGTTTAAACTCCTAGTTTTGTCCAACTCTGTATACCCTGGATCTAGCAACAGGCTGGAACCTGCACAGGGACAACAGATGGTTAATGAAGGATGAAAGAATGCTCACACAGCATTGCACCCTCAGAGCAGCTCAGCCTAAGGACCCACCCCCTGACTCCATAATCAGCACACTGACCACATGCTTGACCGTGACTTTTGGGGGTCTGGAGAGAAAGACTAGAAAGAGTCAGCACTGCCAAGGTGGAAATGGAAACACCCAGAGCCCTTTCTTAATTTCCAGCAGGGCAGCTAAGAATTAAGAATATAAAGAGTTGACAGGGGCTTAAGTGTAGACCTGCATTCTCAAACTTGCCTGCAAGTTAAAATCACCTGAGGCACCCTTATGACAAGTAAATCAGAATCTGAGGGAGGCCTTGGCATGAGTAAAGCTCCCCGGGTGCTTCCAACATGGAACCCAATTTGAGAGCCATGATATATAATAAAGACTAGCAGTTCTCAAAGTGTGTTGCCTGGTCCAGCAGCACCAGTACCACTTGGGAACTCATTAGAAATGCACGTTCTTGGACCCCATCCTAGCCTTGATTGAAACCTCCATGTGATTCTCAGGCACGCTTAAGTTGTGAAGACAGTTCCTGAGCAACAGGACCCAGAAAATCAAGCCGGTTTCCTTCCTCTCCCAGCACTGCCATCACCCACCGGAAATCTTTAGTCTTAAATGGCCTGTGGATTTGTCTTAAGATGACAGTCTAAAGCTGCGTGTGGCTAGTCCGGATTGAGACGTGCTGTTAAGTGTAAAATACACACCAGATTTCAAAGGCTTAGTGCCAAACGAAAAAAAAAAAAGATATCTCAACAATTTTATATTGATTATATGTTGAAATAATTTTTTGATATATTAGGTTAAATAAAAATATCACTAAAATTAGTCTGACATCTATTTTTTTTAACGTGGATACTAGAAAATTTGAAATTACATGTGACTTCCATTGTGGCTTGCTTTATATTTCTATTGAACTGAGCTGGTTTATAGAGTTTTACAGCTGGGAGAACTCGTACAGGGGCTACCTCAAATCAGTATTACGGAGCTTCAGAACGACTTTGAACTCATTCAGACCTGGGCTGTGGAATAAAAATCGCTGATGCAGTCAGAAATTGTCACCAGAAGCCCCCTCCCCTCAAGAACAAGGGTTTTGGAGTCCAATCCTGACACTTCATTTGTCACATCCGTTTCTGTCATTTGTAAACTGGGGTTTTATGATAATACAATAGCCAGGGACTATTAGGTAAGCGAGTGTTTTGCTCAAAAGCATAAAAGCAGGGCTCTAGGTCTCTTCCCCAACTCTGAAAATGCCCGCGGGGGAGAGGGGGGGGGGAACGGCGTGGGGGGAGAGCGGGGTACCAAAAGGCGTCCCTTAGTTTGAAGGGCGTAACTTGCAACTGAGTGACACCGGGTCAGGAAGGACACCCCTCCCCTTGCAAGGGACCAGTAGCAATCAGAAAGACCCAGTTCTGGTCCAGGCTCCGCCACTTCCTCGCCGTAGCTTTGGGCAGGTGAGTTCATCTCTCTCGATCCAGGTCTCTTCTCCAGTTCAAGGTTGGGGTGAGGCTTTAGAGATCCCAAGTTGTAGTTCTTTGCGGCTCTCCCACCCCGTCTGCGTCCCGGACACCCTGCGGGGTAAGGCGACCTGCCCGCTCCTGGACCCAAAAGCTGGAAGAGGAAGATCTGACTTCGGCCCTTAGGAAACTGATCGCGGGTCCTTTCCTAAGGCATATCGGGAAAATATGGTCTTTTACGGTATAAAAAAATAACTTCCGGGTCAAAATATGCAAGTGGGCGTGGCCCTGGGGGTCCCTTCACCCCCAGCGGGAGTTGAATTTCCCGGCTACCCGAAACTTGCGGTTTTTCGGGTTCCGGTTGTTGACAAGCACCACTACTTCCCTTTTTGCTGCATGTATCTTTCTGCGCATGCCCAGAGCTCTCGCCCGCCGGTCCGTGGACGTTTTCCAAAGACTACATTTCCCAGAAGACCGCGCGAGTAGGTGAGGCTTCCTCCCCCAAGGGGTGGGGCGCGGCGCTCAGAGAGGACGCTGAGTCTGTGACCTTTTTTATTTAACACAAAACTGGTGTGTCCGCACGCAGGGCTCCGCGGCCCGGCCGGGCCCGGCCCGATGTGGACGGGCCAGCTCGGCCTGGCCCTTTGGAAGGTGAGGCCGAGCTGTACTTGGAGAACGACTGAACCCCTCCCCTACCCCCTCTTCTGGAGTTTGGAACTGTCAAGCTCCAGCTCTCACACTCTCCAGGTTCAAGACCCCTGCGTAGCCCACGCCGCGGGCCCGGCCGCGCTCGGGGGCCGGGCTGGGCCAGCCTGGCCCGTGAGGATCTGCACCAGCAGGTCGGTGGCCAGCATGTGTGACGGCTCCTCGAAGCCGATGGTCAGCAGCTGCTGGTAGTCCCCAGGCGGCTGCGGGCACAAAATCCTGGGGGCCGGGGACAGACAGGCCTGGATGTGAGCGCCCCCTGCTACTCGGGAGCCCCTCCCCTCTAGTGAGAGGCTGTGGCTGAAAGAGGCTTTGTTTCAGCTGGGGGTGGGAAAAACCCTGGGGGAAAGTGGTTTCCTTGTTGATGAGAAGCCTAGAGGGTGATGGCTCTGGAAAGTTGAACAACTTAGCCCTGACCTGGCCAATTACTCAGCTAGCTGGGTGTCTTGGGCACGTAACTTAGCCTCTCTGAGCACCTGTTTCCTTCATTGTAAAATGGGCTAGTAGTATAGACCTCAACGGGTTGTTACATGAGTCTGCATAAAGCAGGGTACAATAAATGCTATTGCTATTACCAAGGGAAACAATGTTGGGGGAAGTAGATGGTCTTTGGTGGAGTTCAGCCCCTCTCCCTCCAGAGCCCAGGCCCACCTTGCTATCTATCGCCCTAGCTCCTACCAGGAATAAAGGTCATCCTCCGCTGGTCCTAGGGGAACCCATCGACCGATCGACCACAGCTTCTGAATCTGGGAGCATGAGTTGGCCGGACTCTTGCCTGTGTCTTCCCATGTATCTCGATAGCACAGGAAGTAGCTGGGAGGGGAAGGGTCAGCAATTAAGAGTGAGCAGTTTCCTAGCTTCTGTTGAGGGCTTTAATTTTGGAGGTGAGGTAGAAACTCGTCAAAAGTTGCCTTCAAGTTCTCAGGTAGGAATGTGATTCAATACTGAGGCCTTTTCTCCCTGCCAGTTTAGCTTACTTTTAAGATGAGTACTTTTATTTTGTTTGGGGGATGAGTTTTTTTTTTTTTTTAATGTAGGTATGGCCTTTCCTTGGTTTCCTGTTTGGCTTTCCACACTTTGATGGTGGTGGTTCAGAGGCCCATACTGGCATTCTGCATAGGCGAGGGTGGGGGGCTTTGATTCAGGTAAGGGAACTCACTAATCCACATGGGAACCTTGCTCCTGGCCTCCAGGCTCTGAGTTGGTTTCCAGGTTCCAGCGCATTTTCTTATAGAGGTACCGGGGGAAGCGGCTGGCGGTGTAGGCAGCAGGGGCACAGTATCTGAAGATGGACACCTCGTGGAAAGGACTGATGGAGAACCTCCCGCAGAAGAAACAGGAGATGCTGGCAGGAGATGGGAGAGTGGGGAAGAAAGCTGGGCCCTAGACTCTTCCACGCCCCGCCCCCCCATCCCAGTCTCCCACCATTTTACCTTAGAGGGTCAGTTTCCTCCAGGTCCACAAACCCAAAGGAGGCATACATGAGCACCAGCTGTTCCAGACGCAGGGTCAGCTGTTGAGAGATCTCTAACAGCTGCATGGAAAAGGGGGCATCATGAGATTAGCTGGCCTGCCTGGAGCACCCTCCCAACCCCCGCCCCCCTCCCACCTCCTGGCCTGAAGAATGAAGAAAGGGGCATGGGGTCTAGGAAATCGCCCTACACACCCCCTTTCGGACCAGCTCCTGCAGAGCTCCATAGATGGGGGGCACGCTCCGTGCAGCTGCCTCCAGGTACAGGAAGTAGGGCTCACACATCTTTAAGAAGGTGGGCATGGCCTTCGCCAGCTGTTCCTTCTGCACTTGGTCCCTGCTGAAAGGAGAAAAGGGCTTTTGCCTGGGGTCTCTCATCTCCCCTCCCCCAATTTCTCCCGCTGTTCCCGGCCCTGGACCACCCTTGCAACTTCCTGCCCTCCCTCCTCCCCCAAGCCAGGCCTTTCTCAGAGCATCTTCCAGGACAGCCTGTATCACAACCACTTGGAATACTTGTTAAAATGCTGACACCTGAGTCCAACTACTGCCTTTGACTCAAGATTCTCTGCAGGGTGGAGCCAAGAAATCTAGAAAATCCCCATGGATGTTGAAATGTGAGAATCACAGTCCCTTTTCTCCTGGGCTGGGAATCACCTTCTCCTTTGGGGTCTCAAACTGGTAGCCAGTAGGCCAAATCTGGCTCAGATAGGTTTTGTTTAGCCTGCCCAGGGTCCAAAATTTAAGCCATCAGTTAAAAACTAGGAAAAAAGTCCTAGAGATTTGACAACCCAGGGCTCACATAATAGCAGGCACTCCCTAACCCCAAATTGTTCACAGCCCTCATCACTTCAAAATTAGATTCCTAATCAGCTAGCTTCATTTACTGTCTTTGGCTCTTAATGCTTTTAAGTTTGTGACCCTGGTGTGTGCCACCCGCCTATCCAGTCACCCTCTCTCTTGTCTCCTTATCCAAGAGGACCTGGGATCCTGTCCAGCATCACCTGTAGATTAAGTAGCTTTGGAAGTCATCCGCCTTTTTGAGCAGGTAGCATAGCTGTTCCGTGATGGGTCTGAACATGGTGTCCAAGGGTAGGCGAGGAGGTGCGGGCCCCCGGCCTGGGGCCATAGGCTCAGGGGAAGGAGTAGAGGGGGAGGCCTCCAGCAGCTGCTCCTGGACATCTTCTGGCTCCGCCTTGGGTGGGTCCCCAGGTTGGCCAGGGGGCCTCGACCACGAGGGGTCTCCTTCACAGAGCTGTGCTCCAGATTCCAAGTCGTCTGGTGGCCGCGTTTCCCCAGGGCCCCGGGGGAGCGGCCCCACGAACCACTGCTCGGTAGCCATCCTGGGGTTAGAAGCGGGGATAGGAGCTCTTTAAGTCTCCACCGCTCCCGTTGGCCGCGGGTTTGACCCCGCCCCGGGAATTTCGGATTTACCTGGGCCTGCAAGGCGGCCCAGGCCAACTCTCCCCTACCTCGACCTCTCTGCCGGTGCAGCACCGCGCGGAGGGAGTTCGCCTCGTTTGAATTTCAACACGCGGGAGGGGCGTGCCGGGTCGGCGCTGACCGCCCGCGGGGCCCGGAGCACTCGCGCGCTCCCGCAGCCCGGCCGGAGGGGGCGACCTGAGCGGGCACTAGAACGGCCACATCCTGAGGGTGCGGTCCGGGGGACAGCGCCTTTCTCTTTTCGAGGCGGTGTCCTAGAGAGAAGGGGTCTCTTACCGCGCGTCCAAACCCTGGGGTTTAGGAGTATGAAGATAGACGCCCATCCCTCATCCGCAATCTTTTGGCCCCAGAATCTGTATTTTACAAACTAATGGAATTGAGTAATGGCATTAGAGCTTGGCAGGGACTTATGCTATAGTAGTTATTACAAGTAATAAAATTCTTCACTTGGAAAAATTTTCCCATCCCATGATCTCATTTGATGGTCCAATCCCTTGTTCCTTTCACGGAGAGGACTGTGGGGACTGGAGATTCAGCCATGGGCCCAGAAGAGAGCCCTGCTCCCAATAGTTCCTTGTAGCACGTTACGGGTGTCAGATATACACCTACCAAGCCAATACATTAATTATACTTAAAGAACCTGAGTAAATGCTCAGAGAGGTGTTGGACCCCACCCTGTGTGACCCTGAGCATCTTTGCTGTGCAGAGCCAGTTGCCTCATGTGTAAAGTGGATTTTTACACACACTGCCTCATTGGGCTGTAGTGAGAACCTAGAAAGCGCTCATAAAGCCGAGTTAAGTTTAAATGATAGTAACTCAACAAACATTTGAGTATCTACTGTGTGCTCAGGCACTGTTCTGGGCATGGGGAGATGACAGAACTAAGCAAATATTCCGGCCCTCCGGAGCAGTCACTCCTGGCTATGAGGAAGCCCTATTCGCTACCTGTCTCTCCAAGAATTCTGTCCTAACCTGACTTTCCCAGGAGGCCGGTGTGGTTCTTCAACGCCCCTCCCCCAACTCCATTCATAAAATGGGACTCCTGGCCTTTTTTTCTTTTCTTTAAAACTTTATTTAAAAAACCTTCGGTGCAATATTAAAAAGCAATACAGCCAGCTGGAGCGACAACCAACAGAAAGAAAGAGGAAGAATAGGGAAGATCCAGGGACCCCGCTTCAGTTGCTCCCAGGGACTGGGGTCCAGGGCAGACTGAGAAGGGGCTTGGTTGGTGGGGGAGGGAAGAAAGGCCACCCACCAAAGTGAACAGGCAGAACAAAACATTTATACAGGAAACATCTGGCTGGACTGAAGATCTAGGGTAGACTGGAAGCCCCCATTTTTTCCAAAAATGTCCTAGGCTGCGGGGGGGAGAAGTTGGCCTCCTGGGGTAAAATGAGCAGGCCCTGTCCTATCCCACACTCTTCCATCATGGAGTTTGGGATGTGCTGGGGGCCAGATGTGTGTATGTGTTGGGGAGACACAGGGAAGAGATGAGTAGGGAGGGCTGCCCCCTCACTGAAATATGTTATGAGGGCTGAGTATCCCCGGTCCAGTTCCTGAACTCTGGGGATCTTGGGTGAGATGGGGCAGGAATGGATCAGGGCAGGGGTGAGGCCAGGTGCTCAGCCTAGAAAGCCATCAGGGTCATCATCCTCAAAGTGGCCTTGCTGGAGCACCTTGATATGGTGCTCATAGATTTTCAGGGCTGGGCCAAGGCGGATGGACAAGCCCGTCAGCACATCTGTCCGCTGCATGAGCAGGAGAGACTTGCCATCAATTTCCTGGGTGGGGGAGAGAGAGAGAGAGAGAAAGCAGGGTCAGAGCAGACCCCCAGCAGACTCTCACTGAGGCTCAGGAAATTGAGAGTTGAGAACTCACCTGCTCTTGGAAAGCTGTTGCCTGCTCAGGGAAGCCAGCCTCCGTGAAATATTCTACCACGTCCATCACCGTCCATTCCACAGGGTCAGCTGGCTTCTCTTTGCGCCCAGAACTGTATCAGAACAGAGAAAACAAGTGAGCAGTGATGTTCCTCTGGCTCTATTACCCCTGGGCACCACCCTGGTGTCTCAAACACCCCAACTTACGGACAGCCAAAGGGGGTCCCATCGGCCCCAGGTAGGGCTGGTTTTCCTGGGGGCAAAGGCACAGGGGATGGGGAGTCTGGCCCAGTGGCAGCAGAGGCTGAGAAAGAAAAAACATTTATCTGTGGCTGTCTTATGGTTTGGTTCCTGCCCACCAGGCACCCTCTCCCACCCTGAGGGATCCTTACCTGAACCCCCTTCCTTATTCATGGCTGCCATGGAGAACACCTGGCGGGTGCCACTACCGGGCGCTGGCCCCCGCCCTTCATCCTGGCCCTGGTGGGGTACACAGGGCATCCACTCCTTGACCCTCTCCTTGGCACTCTGAGAGCCCCGCTCGCCATTAAGCTGGTGTTGCTGGGCACCTGCAGGACGGTCACCCTCAGGGACCTCCGAGCCTTCAGACACATCATCTTCATCATCTTCATCTTCATCATCTTCTTCCTCCTCCTCCTTCTCAAGCACTCTCTCTTCTCCACCTCTCTGGTACCAGGAAGAAGCGCACAAGGTTACCAGCTGTTCTGGCCGTGGGCCCAGTCCCTGGGATCCAGGACCAAGTGCTGAGCCTAACGGCCACCTTTAATGTCAACGCGGACTAACTTTTATGCATTCACTTCGTGCCATGCTCTGTGTTAATAAAGCCCCCAGTAGCTAAATCTCACTAAACTAGCTTAACAACCCCAAGAGGTCGCTACTGTAGTTAAGTCGCGTTTTACTTCGGAGGAAACTGAGGCTGGAGAAGATTAAGTCACTTGCCAAGGTCACCACGCACCAAGACCGCAGGAAAGACGCGCAAAGCCCTGGCCGCCCGCCGCCCGGTTCCTCACGGGACTCGCGTCCCCGCCACCAACTTCGCCCGCACCTGCCCACCGAGCAGCGCCCCCTCTCCCCGGCGCGCTCACCTTGCTTCGCGACGC